ATCATGTGGAAAAACATAGAAGAGGTCCAAGTTCCTGAATCCATGAAGAGGAAAAGAACACTAAAGAAAATCCCCAGAAGAACCACACCAACCACTAACACCAGCAGGAAGAAGTCTATAGGATCTCCTCTGCCCTCTATCACATTTAGGGAGCGCTTAATGAGCTGGTTGAGGATAAAACTTATGCCCCCAAGGACCAGTAATGCTTCCCCAGGAGAGAAGCAGCGGGGCAATAGGTACAACAGGATCATACTGAGGTAGACAAAAATAAGCAGCACTTCCAGGACCTCTACCACTTCAGAAACAGTCAAAGAATGTTTCATGGTGTAGATGATTAAACTTCCAGCAACACCAGAAAGTATGCAAGTATTAGTTGGCACAGGTTTTGTGATGCCAACTGCTATTACAGATAGGAAGAGGGCTATCACCATGCCAGTGGAGGCCACAACTATGCCAAAACGTTCAAAATACACAACGCCAGACGTCTTGCATCTTTCTTTCATCACAATCCCCAACAGCGGAATGACCATGCTAGCTGGTAGGAGGCCACTATTAGCTGTTGTCCGGAACTGGAAAACGGCTCCACCCAACTGGAGGAGACGGTCCCATTTAAACTGGACGTAAAAAGCCTGAATGGCAAGAGCAATAGTGCACCAGGAATACCGATCCCACACCACCATGTGCACACACAGCACAATGGTGAAAACAACTAGAGATTCTGCAAGCACTGGCTTGATTAACATGGTTCCAATCAGCTGTGTCCCGTGATGTCAAAATCGTTGTAATTGTCTGATCCCAATGTTTTCAATACGGTCTTTGGTCCATTAGTAAAAGTTCACTTTCATCCTACTGCAATTCCTATAAAAATAAACAAAACAACATTAAAGACTATAAGAACACTCAAAACTTCTACAAAAACAACCCATTTTCTTAAGCTCAGCTGCATGCTTCAACTCCTGTATAAGAAAAATAAAACCAAGAAGGACATTTTCTTGGCATTTTCCATGCCATTTAAGAATCAGAAAAGTTCAAGTCAGCTTCCATTTCTAGTGCCAAATCTCAAGGCACTTTTATTCACATGTGAATACTAAATACTCTAGTTGCTATGTCACAGTTTTCTTTCCGCTACTGAGAGTAGGGAGGTGAACACTGCATTCTGCAAGAAGTGCGCACAAATACAAGCAGCAATGCTCAAAAGAATTACACTGGTAAATGCATTTAGCTACTTCAGTAACTTATAACTTAAATACAAAAAAAAAAATCCCCCTTAAGTCATGAGTTTGTTGTAAATTTAAATGAAATTATATAACCTAAAACACATGCGCGCACACACAAATTGTGAACTATGCAAATTAAACAATTATGGATATAATTATTGGTAAGATTTTGGTATTAATAGAGATGACAATGCTATTCCAATCATCAGCAATATTTGGTTGTTTAAAATATACCAACAAAAACAGCACATACTAACTGGTATGTAAAATGAACACAAATCATAAATAAAATAAACCAGAATAGGTAAATCAGATATTGATATTCAACCTGAAAAGTCAATTTAAAAAAATGTAAATGTTCTTATGGGCCCTACCCTTGTTCCCAATTCCTTCCTTCCAATTTTTTGTGAATTTACAGTTGTATTTCCCTGTTTTTAAAAAAATATTTTTCTCTCTCCTCTTATTGTGTGAAAAGCAAAAAACAAACAGCAATGAGTACTGACAAAGCAAACACTGTAAAATAAACACACCAGAGATACACTTCCTCACCAATACATTTCTAATTATGGTAAACCTAATTTTAGTAAATAAAAAAAAATAAAAATTACTTCTAATTTTAGTGAATAAAATTCTCACCTATGTATGAATTAAACTTATAGTGTCTCTTTTTAAGGAAACAGTTTTCCTGCCTTTTAATACAAGTGTCTTCTCTTCCTTAACTAATAATCATGCTTTAGAAATATTAACTAATAACTTGAAAATTTGATCCATGCTGACATTTTGACTGAATAAAAGTTAGCAACAGATTCAACACAAATTAAGAACATCTAAAATCTGGGCGGAAAACTATAATCTGTGATGCAACAAAACAAATATCCCAAAGTATTCTGTGAACTCCCAGTCATCTTAATACGCATTTTAAGCTTATTCTTAGTGTGTAGTTGGTCCAATAAGATATCACCCAGAGAAGTCCTTGCCACTCTGTTTTCTACAACTTACCTTAACTTGACAGTTTCATTGGTAAGGAGATAAAATCTTTCACATCCTCTCCAGAATTTATTATTCCCTCTTACACATTATATACTTTATCAGTGGTACCTCACTCTATTTAAACTAAGGAAAAATATCTTGTAATAACATTCTTAAAGATTACTCAAATAGTTGATGTTTAGGGTCTAGATAGTTCTCTCATTTGCTGGAAACTTTGTACTGCAAATGTAATAATTTTAGTTCTAATTTCCATTAGGGTTCTTTTGATATCTATATCCATAGGATTTGAAATACAAAATTATTTTAAGCAATCAATTCAAATTTGCTGCTGCTATAAAGCTAGGCCAAGATGCATGTATTTCCCCCTGTTCAACAACTCATTCATCAGTTTTACAGTCATACAAGAAAAAATAGTTTTATATAGTCAAAAAAAGGTTAAAAAAACCCATGCCAATTTTACCCCCCCTCTGCCCAATACTAGCTTTGAGGAGGCCATTTCTAGATTTGTAGGAGTGAGGACCTCTCCAGGAGGGGTAAAGTATACCTCACATATTAGCTAGGGAAGAGATATACAACAGAGGAATATGGCTGATTGTAAGTTCCAGCTCAGCTCCAATGCAACAGTGACACTTAGCAGCCTCACTTCAAGAAGTCTGTTCAAAAAGCCCCATAGGGATACACTTGGATGTCAAATGCTAATTTATAAGCATCTTCAAGTGCAACCCAGACACAGTGTAATTTGGAAACCTAGGGCGGGGAAGAAATATGGCCCACAGAGGGGCTTTGCCCAGCCCACAGCAGGTCCCTCAGTCCTGCCTGGCCCAGGTGCCATCTGGCCTGTGGCATGTCCTGCCACTCCCAGGCACGCAGCAGGGCTGGAGCAGTTCTGTGGCTGGGCTCCATTTCTAGGCAGCCCAGGTGGCAGCAGCTGCCTTCAGCCACATGGAATCTGGTGGGGACCTGGCTTTGGATTAATATTATGCATACTTACCTGGCAGGAGAAGCACCGTGACCACATAGGCGGGCTCCCCAGGGCAGGTGGTTGTCCCTAATATGCCCTCCATAGGAGGGTGGTGGAACTGGAGCTTGCTCCATCCACTCCATGCATCGGCCTGGTATTACAGTGTTTCCAGGAACGGTGCAAAAAAAACCAACCAAAAAACCTGCATACACAACTCCAGCCAGCCCTGCACCCACTGCAGACTCACTCAAGCTGGAATGGATCAACTTCAGACCAGCTGGGACCTACATGCACAGCCCTGACCACAGCCTGCTCCCTGCCTGCTTCAGACTGTCTGCCCATGTTGAGCAGCGATGCCAGCGTTGATGGCTGTGCAAAAGCTACTGCTGGGTGCAGGGGAAAAGCACCCACCTTCTTTCGCTGGCCACCTGGAGCCTGCACCTGGGCCATTCTCCAGCTCCTCTCCAGTGCTACTGCTGCCCTGCTGAGCTGCCCAGAGGCAGTACTGGTGGCAGTGGTGACAGTGACAGAGAGAAGCCACAGGGCAGCTCAGGCATGGACTCCAGGCAGTTGCAGCAAGAAAGGCCTGGCAGTGGCAAAGGGAGGTGGGGGTGGCATATGACTGCTTTTACCCTGCACCCAGCAGCAGTTTCTGCATGGCTGCCACTGCTGCTCATTGTGGCTGGGCAGTCCAGATCAAGTGTGGGGCCAGCGGTGGTTATGGTTTTGCACACGCTTCCCACCTGGTCTGGAGCTGGTCCACTCTAGCTGGGGTGAATCCGGACTGGGTGAGGCAGGCTGGGGCCAGGACTGTAAACTCAGCTGCTGCTGGATGCCGGTGGCAGGGAGGAGCTGGAGGGCATGTGGGCTCCAGGCTCTTGCGGGGGTCTCCAAAACTACCTATGTGGCCTGTGGGCCCAAAGAATTGCCCACTCCAATCTGGGGCATACTATAACTATATAACAAAAGACTTTTTATCATTCACTGATTTCTTCGCTTTGTTTTGGGAACAAGGGAATTGCAAAGGTTTCACCAAACATGACCTCTCCAAGCTCCATCATCTCACAATACTTCCACTTTCTCACATACAGAAGATGCCACATTATTCCCACCCTCAACTATCTTTCCAGAGTCACTGCTCACGTTCTGAGCTGCTGAAAAATTGCCCTCTTGTTTGCGTTCTCTCCTCGAGCTCATCTCCCAGCCGCCTCACCAGCCTCACCTCTGTGCTCACTCCATCTCTCATGGGACGCCGTTATTTCTCATTTAATCTCACCGCTGGTCTAGGCATCTCTTTTGCAGCTCCTGACATCTCGAGCAGCCTTTCTTTATCTCTGCACCTCAGCTCTCCAGCTCCTCTCCCGTCTCCACTGAAACAAAATGCAGGATTTCTTTCTTATCTCTGCTGCTTAGCGTTTGTCTGAGCTCCTTCAACCTCCTTTCATTAACTCCCCCAGTGACTTTTTGGGGGACAGCGGTGACCCTCACAGCCACTTTGGAGACGATCCAGGGGGCAGCTGACGGGGGCAAGGACGCCCGAAGGAGCCGCCTCCGGGACTAAGCAGGGCCGCGGGGCGCCTCTTCGCTGAGACAGCCAGCAATGCCAAGGCCAGCGAAGAGCCCTGACAGAGGGACGGGGGAGGGGAAAGGCGAACACCCACCCCTCCGCCGGCAACAGCCTCGCTCCCCCCCACCCGCAAAAGCCGCTTCCTTTCCACAGCGCCACCTCCCCCGCAGCCCCAGACCAGAGGCCGCTTACCTCACAGGTCGACGCCATCTTGCCAGCCACGTCCGTCACGTGACGAGCCCCCCTCGCAGCAGGCCGGGCGCGAGGCTCCGTCACGTGACGCAGGTGCCGGCCCGAGCAGCTGGTAACGGGCCACGTGAGAGGGGTGCGAAGATGGCGGCTGGCGGGCTGTGCGCGAGGTACGAGCGCGCGCGGCGGTGGCGGGAGTCTTCTCCCCACTCAACGGCTCCTTCTGGGGGGGTTGGGTTGGGTTCAAGGGATCCCCCCCCAGCCGCCTGTTCCCGTCCCAACCCTCCTTGTTCTCCTGGAGCAGAGACTACCCCCCCCGCGGGTAAATCCCTTCTGGGCGCAAGGTGTCCCCCCAAGCAGTGGGCTCCCGTGGGGTAGGGGGTGGCGCTGTGCCTAGCTGCCAGGCGTCTTCCACCCACCCGTTCACTTTCTCCACCGCCTGGCTGGGACTGGCCCCGTGGCTACATCGCACCAGGCTGTGGTGCCACCTGTGCGCGCAGGCCGGGCGGGGGTGGGGAATCCCTTGCCCTGCTCCGCGTGCGTCTGCACGAGGTGGCTGATTTCACGCCTTCGCTGCAGTCCGGGAAACGGAGGGTCCTGGACATGAGCCGCTTTCGAAGCTCTTTCCCTCGAGGAGCTCCTGAAAAAATAAGGGGATCTTGGGAGTGAGGGGGAAAGCAGGCCTTGTGGGCTCCTAGGGTCTTGTATAACTCCCTTGGATCCTGGTGTGGACCCCGGAGCATAATAAACGGGTCCTTATCAAAGCAGTTCTTGTTCCTAGTGAGGGTGTGGAGGGGACTTATTGGGTTGCTGAGGTAGACCTCCCAGGAGCTGTTTCCATCAGCCTACATCAGATCCATTTCCATGTGGGGTTTGGATCCCTGGGGGTCCACAGACTCTGCTTAAGGCAGGGGAGGGCAATTATTTTGGGTGGAGTTAGTGAGTTTTGGCAAGCCATCGAGGGCCATATGACAGGCAGCCAGGGGCAGATAAATATTAATTTTCTAAATTTTTTGGGGCCCCGCAGGCCGTATAGAATGGCCTGGTGGCCACATCTGGCCTGCAGGCCACATTTTGCCCACCCCTGATGTAAGGGGTTGGTGAAAGATGACTGTGAGAGATCAAAAGCCGGCAAACACGCACATTTAAAAGTCCAAGCAGTCCGCACCTCCCTTTGACATTTTTTAAGGGTCCGCAAATGAAAAAAGGTTGAAAACTGCTGCACTGAGGTTCATTGTGCATCTCCAGCAGTACAAGGACTGGTTAATCATTTTGGGGTGAGTAAACAGCAGCAATTTATCAAACCATTCAGACTTCAGGTCTGTTAGTAAGGACTGCTATTTGGCTTGGGGCTGAGGAGAGTTAGGTTGCACAGCTGCTTGGGGTGTGAGAGTGGAATACAATAGAGCCTAGTCCAAAGGGTCTTGATTGAGGTGTGAATGGGAGCAACCTAATGGTACTACAGTAGTTACAAAACTTGATGTAAACTGGTTAGAAGAGAGAGCAGGGCAGGATGACTACTAGAACATGTGGACATGTGATTTGCTGGGGTTATTTCTTTCCTGCCCATAGCAGGGAAGCTGGACCCTGTGATCTCATTATGAGATTTACAGCCCTAAACTTCTGTGAATCTGTGAATGATGCAAATGGGTACCCAGGCTGTAAACTTGCCTCTGTTCGCAGCCTTGCATTTGAAATGCTTGAAAAAGTAATTTTTTTTTTGATTTAGTGGTGAGAGGAGGCACAGGGACTAGCAGTGAATTAGATATATTAGTGTTTTTGTCCATTTAGAATCTTTAGTGGAGAATATGTGCTAACAAAAATAGAGCAACTGTTTAAAACAGTTCTGCTCCAAATGGAAATCTCAGTTTACGCACCACCAGAACAGGACCAAATAGTTCATTGTTCTCTAGAACACTGAGAACATGTTATAGAGAGCATTTCTGGTTCTGTTGCAGAAAAATTGCATTCTGTGCAATTAAAGTCTGTTCTTAGAGCTTTAATCTCCAGAAGTGAGCCATAAACCTTGAAGACCGAGATCAGATTTTTGAGTCAAATGTGTAGTGTCATTATGAAATTGATATTTGAGGAGCTGATATACACTTTAAGCCTTTGAATATCTTTAGTGTTCTTTTGATCTTGCTTGTAACATCTCAAAACTCATTGACTATAAGCAACTATTTTTTCAATGTGTTAATTACATGGGTAATAATGCCCAAGGCACCACCTGGGATGGCAGCACTGTGTGCATTATAAATGGTTCATAAGAGAGATTTCCTTTCCCAATAGCATCTTTAAGTGAATTGGAAGGAGTTGAAGGCCCATCTTAATCCTGGAAAAAAAGGTTCTGAATGAAATGAAAATGAGGTGGAATTGATTCAGCCGTATTGCTGTTCTGCATTACAGAGGGAGTATCTCCTTGGGAGAATTTTGTAGTCTTGGTGCTCTGCAGGGGACAGAGGGGTGGCACACATTTTATTGCTAATTGGAATAGGACAGGTTCTTCTGCTTTTATAGAATGAAGTATATCTAACTAGAAAGGAATTGGCAGCTAGAAACTATACCAATTAGAAACAGTAACACTGGAGTTTAATTATGTAGCACTGCTGTATTAAAAGACACTTAGGGATTTGAGCTTTATAGTGATATTTTTTGTAGATTGCATTCTCAAAGTAAATAGTTTGCTTTCAGTTAGTGATGCTTTTCTTTGCATTTCTTGGTTCCTCTGATTACTTGTGAAGGAATTATGTTCAGGTATTTTGCTACTGCTTTACTATTTGAGAGGAAGTAGCAATTCTCAACCAAAGGAGAAAAAGATATTTCTAGTCTGCCTCATTCTGGAGTAACTCCAGGGTAATTTAGTCAAAATAAGACACCTCCTTCCTGTGTGTATCTTGATTGGCAGCAAGTCAGGCCGTGTGTATTTTAGCCATTATGTAGCTAACACAATGCTTTTGGTGTTTTCTTCAAGGTATAGACAGCTTCAGAGTTGCCATTTTCAATGTCTAACTTATTCTAGATATTGTGAGAGTTGTTTTGCCAGTTAAGTTTTCTTGGATAAAAACTGTCATATGACAAGTTCTGTTTGTTACTTTCTAGACAGCCAGCTTTTGCACGGTGATTTTGTACTGATTTTTGTTTAAAACTTTATTTGGGTTATGTTTCCATCAGATCATTAGTTCTCTAAACTCCTAAAGGGGCTTCATTTTGGAAGATGCTGTTAATACAACAGTTTTAAATAGCTAGATTTTATTTGTATCAATCTAGAGTGGCTCTTCTTTCTTTCTGAGAAGTCCATAGTAGGGTAAGGATTTGATCTCAGATACCTTCTGGCACAAACAAGCTTTTCTCATGAGGGCTTGGGAAATGGATAGAAACAAGTCTTACCTAAACTATGGTGGAGAGTCAGGACAATTCTTTGCCTTCAGGAAAACAAGGGTATGTTTTTACCTTGTGCTCAGTTTGTGTTCCATCCAAGGATGGAGATATTCAGGTCATAACAACAAAGAAAGCTTAGTGAAAGATCTCTATATTTAGCTTGGTTTCCTTAAAGTTCGCCATTGGTTAGGTTTGTGCGTGGTCCCTTACCACTAAGTCTGTTCTAAGTTAAAACCAACTAAATAGGTGGAAAAATAGTTTTTTGCAAGCTTTCAGGCACAAACACCCTTCTTCAGGCATAGTCACTCTCCCTATGCCTAAAGATGGGTGTTTGTGCCCAAAAGCTTGCAAAGAACAATTTTTCCAACTATTTTGTTGGTCTAATAAAAGAAAACACATTTTCCCAAAGAACCTTGCCTAGACTCGCATTAGCTGTTCAACAGTGTTTGATGGCAGAATAACACATTTGTTTTCACTTTATTTACAGGAGTAGCAGAGAACTGTGGACCATTCTGCTGGGCAGATCAGCTTTGAGGGAAACAGTAAGTAGAGGCCATGCCAAGCAACTTTACTTGTTAGGAACTGACTACATGGTACAGTATGCTAGTTCTGTGTAAATGTTTGAATCCTAGTGAATTGTGTTTTGCTGCTCTGCCTCCTCCCTATCTCAAAAATATTCTTACAGTGAGATTGTTGTTCCTCTCTTTCCACTCCTTGTTTATTCTCTCTTGTTAGCTGCTGCACCAACCTCTACCTGAGAGGGTGTATGGAAAAAGGTGGTTCCCTTTCTGGAGCGGACACAAGTGCTGCTTTCCAGACTGGCTGGCCTGGGGTATTCAGGAGTGGAACAGCCGGCTTCCTTACCCTCTGGGATGGAGTCCATGCTTTCAGGAATGTGCCCAGAGGTTGGAAATAGAAGTCCATTTCTGATCCTAGACTGTTGTCTCCTCTTTCCGTTTCCCTTCCCACAGTTAGGCAAAGCAGCAAGCTGTTCTTTCTCATATAACGTACACCTTGAATCAAAGTCTGAATCATAGATACTCTTTATACTGATCCTGTGTCCTTTCTGTCTCTCTGTGGTGGTGGAATTACTTTGCTTAGTTTAAATTAAATAAATTTGATACTGGATGGTATATAGAGAGTTGTCTGACGGTATTGTTTTTTTCTCTGTAGGCTCAGATTGCAGCAGAGTTGAACAAACATTGGCAGAGGCTACTAGAGGGGCTCTCATACTACAAGTCTCCCAGGTACAGTAATTGGCTGATACCAGCATCTGGATAGCAGGCACCTAGAAGTTCTAGAGATATTGGTCTGCAGAAAAGCCTATTGATTTTTTTCCCCCTTAGTGCAGCAAAAGTAGATTTTGTGCCTCGTCCTCACGGTTGAGTTGAAGTTGTATTGGACTCATTAATCATATGGGCCAGATGTCAAGAAGGCATGCTTATATCCAAACAACTTATTTTGACATGAAAGCGCACCTTGTATAAATAACGTGGGGTCTTAACCTTTCCTGACTTACGTTAACTGTATTATCCTCCTTGTTCCCTGCTAAGCTACGCCAATCATGTGCAAGACTCCCAAGTATTCTTTTAAGCTACCTAGAAGTGAAGCTACAGTGTAGAGGAGTGATTCATCTTGACACTTCTTCATTCTAAAGGATATCCAGATACTCTCATGGAAAGAGACAGTGAGCGCATCTACATGTGCTTTAACATGGTTTAGGGGTATAGGCTGTAGCCATGTTCGTCTAAGGACATAGGCAGACAAGGTTCTTTGGGTGAATCTGATACCTTTTATTTAGACCAACTTAAATAGTTGGAAGAACATTTTTTTAAAACCAAGCCTTTGGGTTTAAAAACCGTTCGTCGGGCTGAGGAAGTTTCAGCAGTTGGTGTGTGCGCTTCCTGGATGGAATGAAAAGTAAAGAAGTGAGAGGCTGGGCTGGTATGCATACAGAATAGGCAGTGAAGATGTAAGTTGAGGAGTCAGTGGGTGAGAGACAGGCTGGGTTGGGGAGAGAAGGGGGATGAATAGTGGAGAGGTACCTGGGGGATCAGATGTCAGGCAGGTTATAATGTGTCATAAATCCAATGTCTATATTTAGTCCATGATTTTTAGTATCCAGGAGGCTGCTGAAATGAAGTTCATAGGCTCGTCTCTGAGAAGTGTTTTGTAAGTTTCCTTTGAGGATTAGAATTGAGAGATTGGAGAGAGAGTGGTTTTCTTGTGAGAAATGTGCTCTCACAGGTAGTTGGGTATTCCTGTCTTTGATGGATTTCTGGTGTGCGTTTATTTTGGTGTGCGGTTGTTGGTTGGTCTCTCCTACATATTTTCCATCGGGGCATTTGGTGCAGTGAAGATCTAACAATCTTTAAGAAGATCTATTCTTAAAGAGATCTTCCCAGAGTCGCCTGTTCTAGCCTTCAAACAAGCACCAAACCTCGCTAACCTCATCACCAGAAGCAAACTTCCTTAGGCTGAGAACACATTGAATGGATCCAGACCATGCCATGACAAGAAATGCAAAACCTGCCAACACATCTCCACCCCCACACAATTATTACACCCCACAACAGAGCCATCCACATTCCCAGATCTTCCAGCTGCACTTCCATAAATGTAATGTATAGATTTATAGATTCATATAAGTAGGGTCAGAAGAGT